TCTCCTTCGCGTTCGGCCTCTACGTGGTCCTGTACTCGGGTTCCTGTACGTTCGGTGAGGCCCCAGAGGGCCCATAATCTTTGGTTTTGTCAGGCTTGTGGTTTCTATGCTCATGTTTCTATGCGTGAGCTGTCGAAACCATGTTCTCATAAGCTTGACCCCCATCGCCGAGAATATTTGTCTCGTATCGATGATGGGTTGTGGCCGAAAGCTCTCAGTAAAAGCTGAGAAGCTCACTCGTGGCCAGTAATTCCTGAACCACTACGTGGGATAGCCTGTTCCTGTTCCTGCTCCTCCTCCTCCGTGTGGGTCACCGTCCCGTCCACGAAGGTCGCGACCGACACGGCCCCGTTTGGCGGCGCCTTGATCCACTTCATCGCGTCGGGGTCGGCCCGCCAGCCGCGCGGCCTCGGGGCACACCGCCCGCGGGCAGACCTCTCTGCAGCCTCCTCGCCCTGCGTCTGGACCTCCTTGGCCGTGCTCTGCACGTGCGGAGTGCTCGAGTTGAGCCGGAGACCCACCGTGGCGTCGCAGGCGAAGTGCCCGCGCCAGAGAGCGCCGCGCCTGCGCACCACTGCGAGCCGGCAGCCAGCACAGCAGCTCAGCGCTTCCAGTCGGCTGGTCCACCCCAGCCTGACCCCTTCCCGGGGTTCGGGAAGGCTTCGGCATCCGCCGTGCACTGCGCGACACGCGCGGTCGCCGAACGGACCGCTTCGGGGAAGAGCCACTTCAGGTTGACCACCTTGTCAGTGGGTAGCTTCAGCCCGCGCGGCGTCGGCAGGGTGACACCGGCCCCGGTCATCACTCCTGCACTTCTCCCAGGATTCTTCTTCACTGGCAGCACCTTGGCGCCCTCCCACCAGCACTCCAGCACGGCCACCGCGACAGAATTTGTCGCCCAGCAGGTCGCCCTCACGGTCTTGAAGGAGGCCTTGAGCCTGAGTGTCCGCGCCTTCAGGCAGCCTCCCCAGGGCCCTGCACGCCTGCACACGCTCCCGCCGCAGCGTGCCGGCTGGCACCCACCCTGACCGCGACACCCCACGAGGCTGCCGCCGTGGGGCTGCCGCGCTGCACCTCTCCCGCCGAGGCCCTTGCGGCCCGCAGGATCTTGACCCTGGCAGTGCTGTCCGCCGTCAGCAAGCGGCGCCACCTGTTGTCCGTCGCCTCGCAGCCGAGGTCCCCAGCCCCCGCCTCTCGTTCCAGCACCCCGCCCTCCTCTGCGAGGCTGGTGCCCGTGTCCTTGGCCGTCGCTGCGCCGCCCGCTTTGAACGTGGTTTTCGTCCACGCGGCCAGCAGGTTCTCGGCCACAACACTCGTCATTGCACTGGAGAGGTGGTCCTGAACCTGCCCGGCTCCACCCGCAGTCTGCACGGGCAAGTCATCGACCACGTTTTGGTACCTCAGGATGGGGTATTATTGGGCCAGTATTACTATCGCGCGGTGCATCAGCACTTCGGAGACTCCCGTCGCACAGGAGCACCCTGTATTGAGAGCACCATTAACCACTGACGGAGGCGTCCCATTGCGCACGCCGTGGCCTCCTGTAGCTGATGCGGAGGAGCCGCAGCAGCTCCTCGGGGAATGTTGCTTCCGTTGCCTCGAGGCGCGGCTGTTTGCGCTAGAGGTGGAGGGGGAGACAGAGGAGGAGGAGGAGTAGGAGGAGGACGAGGAGGAGGAACAGGATGAGTGCAAACCCAAGGCGCATTAACTATGGTGCACGAATCCTTCCCTCTAAGTTCATTATCCTAAGGCCCGGCTTTGGCGTCACTGCTGGAAGGGCCCCTGTGGAAGACAACCGTTTGAGAATCCTCAGTCGTGCCAAAACAACACTCGTCCGACTTCAACGCCACGACCAAATTTGATCGTTGCGATCTGGCGATTCTGCATCATGCCAGGACACAATTTCCGGAACTCCATCACCGCGAATGAGCGCGATTGTTGCGCCTTGAGGGTCCTACATCGTGCCCGGACACCGTCCCTGGGTCGTCAACCATAGAAGTCCGTTGAACGGTTGTGGATGTGTCAAACGAATGTGAAAAGGCATTGAGAAGGAATTGAGAAAAAAGGATGGTGGAGGAGGGCGAAGGGAAAAAAGGAAGGTGGAGGAGGGAGAAGGAGGAGCAAAAAGGAAGGTGGCGGAGGAGGGGAGGAAAGGATGTATGAAACGAATGTGAAAAGGAATTGAGAAGGAGGAGCAAAAAGGAGGGTGGAGGAGGGCGAAGGCGCGGAGGTGCGCAGGGGAGGCGGGGAGGAGGCAGAGGAGGAGGAGGCGGAGGAGGGGAGGAAAGGAGAGAGAGGGCGGGATCAAGAGTAATTTTTACGATGAGTCGGGGAAGGAGGAGGATGAGGAGGAGGAGCTGGAGGAGGAATAGATGATGTCAACGAGATTGATGAGGAGGATGAGGAGGAGGAGGAACGGCCCTACAATTATGAAGATGTTGATGACAACTCTTATAACAATAATAAGAAGAAGAATAATGGTGATGACGACGACGACGAT